TTACAGCAATTAGCATATGGTTAGTTCTCAGATCTGAATAACTTTGAATTGATACGAAGAATCACAAATAGGTCACAATGATTGTAAAACGAGAAGTATTCTGTTAGATTGGAATGGAAGCCTTGCAATGATTTTTACATTTTCTGGAAAGTTTATATGCAGTGCTTATTTTTAGCCTATGGGAGAAGGTTCTCGAGGTTCAAATCCACATGTTAAAAAGAGCACAATCACTAATTATCATAGAATATTTGAAAATGTCGGCCTAACCACTCTTTGCTTGCCAGCCATTGTCTATTACAAATATCTTCAAAACATCTTTCAAAGACATCATTGGTTGAAGCCTAAAGACTCTTTTATAAAAAGACATTTTACCCCGCGACGTCGCTTTCTTGACCACAGCCGGCCAGAATTTCCAGAGCGGCAGAGTGAAGATGCCTAATTGTTGGGGACAGATGGCGGGCAATGGTGACTATCAGTTGAGTTTTGTGAAAAAAATAAGTGCAACTCAAAAAAGGTAAAACCGTTGTAAGGCTTTCGTTCCAATTTAATAAGCGGCTTTCATATTTTACATCCTATCTTAGACAACTGCGACGATAGATTGAATGTGAGATTGTCTGCTTTGATCGATATGTTTTATGTTAGCTTGTTAATAATTAGTAGATGAAATAACTTCTGCGATTTAGTTCCTATCATACCGAGTTGTTTCTGTTTTTCTAAAGAACTATCTGCCTATTTCTCCTTTTATGTCCACAAAAGAAAACAGTTGCTTGGAAGTCCGCTCTTTCCGCCAAGTGCTCTTCCTTGATTATCTCCAACCGAGCCTTCACAGCCTTTTTGGCACCATTTCCGAAATAAATTATAAACGTAAAAGGGCATCTGGAGAGAGAAAGTCAAATGTCTTCACATTTGGAAAACTTCGAACATATAAAAGCTATTTTGGGAATTATCTTCTATATACAGTTTTCCTTAAAACGTCAAATTTTCTGGAAACTATCACTACATCACTTCATGATATCAGCAGTAATACAGTCTTTCAACAAAACCTATAATCGTTTGAAATGTGGTATAAAGATGCCTTAACAATATCAATTCAAAATATATCTGGTCTGCTTTACCACATATATACACTTTGGATGAAAGCAACAACTAAGAAGAACATCTGGAAGGTCTATGGCTTTTTTAAAGAATCCGCGCTCAGATGACATCCACTTCAAACTTCAAAAGATCTTTACGGTGTTATAAAGCTTTCTCATTTCTCGTTAAAACTTTTCTTGTTAGTTATCATAGAATGACATAAAAGCGCAATTTTCGATAATGGGCCTTAAATAAGCAGCAGACAGATGCTTAGCTGTTCTTTGCGGAACTATGAAAACTCTACTTGTAGTGACTTCGTTGTAAATTAATTTCTTTAAATTTCTGCCAAAATCAAACTGTTTCACACAAGACAAAATTGCTTTAAAAAAGCTGAGCTGGGTTTTTCAATTTATTATCTGTTCCAAACACTACTGATTTTTGGCAATCAATGAGTCACCGAACAAACCTTGATGAATTTGATCTTCTTCAATTGCCCTCTGCTGTGCTGTTGCGAACTTCTCAACTATCATCGAGATAGGGAAGGCAAGCACAATGATACCGCATATGGATGTCGCTGTTGCTACCAACTTCCCGACTAAATATTTCTTGGCTTAAATCTCGCCGACTCACTAATAGTACGTCTTAGTTAGCTGGCATTTAAATGCAACTTACATGCAGTAACTGGTTTCGCATCGCCATAGCCGACAGTTGCCATTGTAACTCTGTAATGTTAAATGACTAAGCTACTGGATTGATTTATGGCAAGATAATACTTAATGAATTTGAATTGTGATCAATTTTCCAAAAGGAACATGACAAATTTTCCGCAGCCAAGGTAGCGTGCACGGTATTTTATTTATTGCTCGACAGCTGCAGTTTCAAACTACTCCAATAATCCGAAAGTTCCGCTTGCCAGGATAGGAATCCAACAGAGTGTTTCGTTTATTCATGCCGATTTTTGCAGTTATGAGTGATTAGCTTTGCTTGGTTTCAAACTTCACGGTTTTTAGTGGTTCTGGTACGTCCTACAACCCCAACAATTGCAGAACAAAACTTTCATTCTCTCTTTTGGAGAATTCTATAGAAAGAGTAGTTCAGGGATCGTTGCTTTAAGGCGCCGCTTGCATTTTAACTCATATTTGAAGGCTCAGCTATTTCCCCTTGTTATCAAAAAGAGACACTTTT